AAGAGCCAATGAGGTTTCAAATAATGCAACCACTTAAGCTATAGCCAATCAAATAATTTCTTCACTTTGCTTCCACGTCTTGTATAAAAGTGAGTTTCCCCTAGCTTCTATTTGTATAGTGCTCCTAACCACTTCTAACCACTTTATGCTACTCGATTCAAATCTACTGTTGTTAAAATAAACTCTTAAAATATGCCTCAGTTATCTTTTAACACACGTGCAAATCAGCATTAAAGAAACATTCATTGTAGGAGAACAGGCTGCATGTTGCATCATTACTATGATAACAAATGTAATGATGCTACTCGTGATTCAGCCTCCTTGTCTGGGGAAAACTGCTTTCAATCAATGATGAGGAAAATTGAATAAATATCCAATGAAATTAATCTGCAAGAATGTAAATGACAATTCTGTCACAACTACTGTCACAGGGTACATTGTATCTCTCACTCTTAAAACAGTTGTGTATCAGGAAGGCTATGGAGGAAACACCAGGTAGTATGGGTGGGCAGAGGTGTGACCAGATCAATACTCCCCGCGGGGCTTCCCTAGTGAATCACACAGTAACCTCTGATTTTAAGGTAAAGACTCTTGTTCCTTTCCATGATTCACAGAAACCAGGTACTTGATCAGAAAAAAAAAAAGTGATGACATTTTTTTAAACCTTGGCTCACCACCAGAGGCGATTGCCGCAGAACTTTGGCTGCCTTTGGATTATTTCCACCTCTCTACTACTTACTCAACAGCTAAAATTAAGGGACTTTCCCAAAGTCACATGGCCAAGAAATACAGACGTGAATTTCAAATCCAGGAAGTCTATCTTCAGACCCCGTGTCATTGCTATTCTATTCTCTATGCCTCTTGCTTTTGTGTTAGAGATAGAACTAAAGCAATAATACAGCATCCTTTGCCATCAGTTCAAAATAACCTGACATCTAAAAGCCACATGTTGGGTGAGAAACCATGTTTTATATTCTGCTTATTTTAACCCTGACAGATATTTCTGTATTTTATGTCCAGGCTTACACAGCAGGTCTCTGGGGACCAGGGAAGGTGGAGAGTAAGGAAGAAAATAAGTGGGATCAGAAGGTAAATACCAAAAATCATGCCCAAAGGATAAAGCCAAGGTCAAGTTCCCCAAATGTGTTCAAAATGGGTCAGGTAACAAGGGTGGAATGGGAATATGAATGAGCAAGAGGAAGGAACAGCAGGTGGGGGGAGGTGGATCAAAGAGGCTGACCTGTACAGTCTGCTAACATGCTTTGCTGTTAACCCACAATGGGAGGTAATTCTGCATCTGATCAGTTTGGATGCAGCAAACACTGAGCCAACNGCAACTTGAGCAGCGTCTGCTACAAACCTCCTCTAGATGCACTGTCTTCCTACACAAAATCAGGATTCCATTGGAACTGAAGAAGGGGAATGGGTGTTAGTAGGCAACTTGAGCAGCGTCTGCTACAAACCTCCTCTCCTTTCCCCACCTTAGGTACTCACTGCACCCACCCCGCATCCCCAGCAGTCCACTTAGGACAGCCTTCCCCAGGCCCCTCTCTCTCCCCCTCCCCCTAGGGATGCTTCTCCTCATTGCAGTCTCAATTCTTAGGGGCCTGTCCTCAGGTCCAACATGGTACTGGATAGAAAACTTCCCAACTTCTTCCCACTAAGGCAACCATGTGACCAGCAATAGCGTTGTGTTTTTTTTGTTTTTTTTTTCAAGTGACAAAGGCTCTATCGAAAGAAAATATTTTTTAAGGATATCATTTTGGGAGATGTGGGAGACTGGAGGGGGAGATTTTTGGTGTGAGAGCTGGAGGACTTCCAGCATGCCTCTGTTGACGAAAAACATCCAACCTAAGGGAAAACTTATAAGAGTTTATTTGAGCCAAACTGTCGACAATTGCCGAGAAGCAAAATCTCAACGGATTGAGAAAATGCTCTGCAAAATGGTGGGTTGCAGCTTATTTAATACATAAAACCAAAGGAGGAAGGTTACATGAAATCCGCTGGTGACAGATTAATGGGGTGGGAGAGAGCAAAGCCGGGGAAACCTCTGGGATTGGATAAAAGTAAATTGGAGAGACAGGTACTTCCTTTACATAGGTGGGTGCAGGATAGCTAACAGTTAGCTTTTTTACAGCACAAAGAGATGGTAATCAAGAGATAAGCATAATAATGAGGAATTTAGCAGTTTTCAGCTCTGGTCTGGAAAAAGGGTTAAAGGTGTTGTTTTAGGTGCAGAAAAATAGACAGGCCCACTGAAAAGGCACAGACTAACTTTATGAAGGAAGGTAATGATGTGACTTCCCACCATGACCCACTTGGTTATGAAAGTTTTTATGCTCACGCCATCTTATGTGGCTATTTTCAATCTCCTGAGCTTGTCAGGTTTAACCTGTGGACCCTTTTCCGTCCACACCTCCCATAATGAACTGCAGGCTATTTCTGACTTTTGTTATGATTAATTAGTCAGCTCTCCTCATACTTAGTCACCTAGTGGGTCTAACATGTAGGATGATTTACAAAACAATGACAACAGAATCGTAGGGCTCACTCTCTTGCTCTCTTTCACTCTCTCTCACAAAACTGAACCTAAAATACAAAAATAATTCAGTCAACAATAGTTCGTTGAGAAACAGGAAGTTACTACTTTGCATATGCCACTAAAATTAATGGTATAAGTAGAAAAGAAAGTTTTATTTATTTATTATTATTATTTTTTTTGCTTTTCCATGTAGATGTCCTATAACTAAAATTTCACGTTAGTGAAAACTTACCCCAGTCACTTGAAATTCCCTTACATTTGCAGGACCTGCTCCCCAAATCCAAATAAAACCTTGAGGCCCTAAGCACATCATGTAGATGCCCAGCCACACTTCTCTAGTCTGAATTATAGAAATAAAGTAAATTGAGGCAAAATTATCCTGACAGCTTCTCTTTTTTCCGTTCTGGCTTTTTTCTCCCTTTATCTGACCCTTGAACTTTTCTATTTTCCCTCCTTCTCCAATCAAAATCTGCTCCCCAGATGCGCTTCATAAGTCCAAAGATAAATCTGTAATTATTTATACATTACAGACATTATCAAGGTGATGTGATATATTGATTTGTCAGAGTATCTGTCTACATGTTACAGTCTGAAGACTGGAGCTGTTTTGCCAGCAGGCAGAGCTAGAAGCATCTGGGACCTTAGGTCTTCTATGGAGACCTTTAGCCAACTGTGCTGCAGGGATAGGAAAGCCCAGCTTCTGGCCTCCAGCTCCCTGGAGGTCAGGCTGAAGCTGGGGCCTGGCCTGGCTTCTCCCCCTTCCTTGTTTTGCTTCCCACATTCCCTTTTCTCTTGGCAGCATGTTCTTAATAAATCAGGGTCTGCTTCCTGGGAACACACCCTAAGACATTTCCCAGATACACAGTTATTAGAATGTCTGATTGAGGTCCCCACAGGCTTAGAGATGGTACTGAACAACTAATTTCCTAGTCAATTTTGACCTCAAATGGACTGGGCATGCCTATCTCAGCCATTGAATTTGCTAGCTAAGGATCCTGGTAAGGTCACTCCAATTCTCTGAGCCTTACTATCCATGTCTACCTTGAGTATGATGGAGATCATGTAAGTAGAGCACCCATCACTGTGCATTGTTCACAATTGGCAGCTACTACACAAAATCTTACCCTCATTTTTTTTTTCCCCAAAAAGAAAGCCTAGATTCTCTAAGGTTATAGTTTTAGAAATCAAAGACATCACCTGTGGGCTTGATAAGCTGTATTCTGAAGGTACAAATTCATTTCTTTTCTTGGTTTCACTTGTGTATTCCGGCTGGGGGTACTTCTTCTTTTCACAGAACAATTGCAGTAACAGATTTTGAGCCAACCGAGGCGCGCATGGCTTTCCCTTGCTTTGATGAACCATTATTCAAAGCCAACTTTTCAATCAAGATAANTTAACAATTATTGTATTCTTTTTCTTTGTTCCTTTAACAATATCTGTTGATCTGTATTAACATTGCGAATTGGAAAATTGAAGTAATTGTTCAGATAATTAATTCTGAAGAACTTGTTAGTGATAAAAAAGAAACGGAAAGGAAACCATTGAAGTTGGAGCAGGGAGAAGGTAGGTAGAGGCAGGTGGCAGGGTGGGATTAGAGTTGACTCACCTGTATTAATTTAGGACAAACAAATTGTCCTAATTTCACATGTTTGGTAGCTTTACCCTTCTAATAAGAAGAAATCATTATAGTTCTATTTACAGAGGCAGTGGATTCAGTTTAAGTTGTATTTTCAAGGTATCCCACGATGAAGAAAACCAAAAAAATTTTTTTAATATTCTCAGAGTATTATAAATTCAAATTTTATTTCCATAGCTTTTTATATATTGGAAATAATCTAAGGGTAAGTATCTAGCTAGACCGGTATCCTTTATACCAGTAGCCATGGAATCAGGTCATTCAGATGATGCTATGTATTGAAAGAGGTAAAAGTCAATGCCATTAATGATAATAACATCTGGTACCCAAAGAATATAGAGTATCCTTTGTGTGACTTATTAAGACAAAATAGAGATGCCTGTGCAGTTCAATTTCAGGTGCCCTGGATACTCTTAGAATGAAGCAGCCAAATATTAAAAACATTCAACATGAAATGAATTTACAGTTACCTTCTGCTCATTGCATAGGAATACAGAGGGGATTTATTCATTTCATTTGAGCTCTAAAGAATTTTTTTTTTCTGGAATAACCAGATGAAAGCCTGATTACTTACTTTATGGATATTTGACCTGATCCTGACAGAGAGCAGATTTTCCGTATTCACATACATCCTTTTGTTTTTTAAGGTTTTATTTACAAATTGAAATCTTTTTCTTCATGCTATAAATGTTTTATTTTTCCTTCTAGATTAAATCAGTATATTAAAACACTGTTCAGAGCCTGTGTGACATATCTGGAGGCAACATGGTGCTATGAAGAACTTCGAGATTTAGTCTGGATAATACTTGTCTTCTAGAGAATAGATTTAGTATTCCATTTTTCTGCAATGGTTAATCCATGCAGAAAACAAATATTTAATAGTTACATAGGCTTCTACTGCTTAGCAATCATCCTGCCCCCAATATGCATTTGTTCTCTGTTCTCAGTGCCACCAAATGATCAGTCCAATGAGCACCCTGGGGCTTTCCCAGTAGCCACCAATGGGGACCCATTTCCTTGGCAGGAGCTAAGGCTCCCCAGCACGGTCATTCCCCTCCACTATGACCTTTATGTCCACCCAAATCTCACCTCCCTGGGCTTTGTTGCATCTGAAGAGATTGAAGTCTTAGTCAGAGATGCCACCCAATTTATCATCTTGCACAGCAAAGATCTTGAAATCACAAAGGCCACCCTTCATTCCGAGGAAGATTTGAGATACAGGAAACCAGGGAAAATGCTGAAAGTTTTGAGTTATCCTGCTCACCAACAAATTGCACTGCTGGCTCCAGAGAAACTTATGGCTGACCGGAGATACTATGTGGCTATTGACTTCCAGGCCACGTTAGCTGATGGCTTTGAAGGGTTTTATAAAAGCACGTACAGAACTCTTGGTGGTGAAACAAGGTAAGACATTGCTCCAGCTGTTTACAGTCTCTTGTGATATTTTCCTTATGTNTTGTACAAAGATATAAAGGTAACAGCAACTAAAATGAAAGTCATAAAAAGACTTGGAATAGGAGGGGAAATTAAGGAAAGTAGACATGAACTAAATCTTCATATTTCAAAGCTGGGAGTCAATAGGCCCCATTTTAACGTGCATTGATCCAAAATATTGTTTAGATAGGGAAATAACTGCAGAAAACAAAATTAAAAAGCTTACAAATGATTGCTTCTGGGAAGTGTGACTGGGAGTAGGAAGAAACAGGGAGAAATTCTCATGCTTTTCATTGTAACTTTTCTATTATTTGATTTTTTTACAATGTGCATATATTATGACGATTTTTAAAAGGTGGATACGTTCACACATACTCAAATTTATATGAATATAGGATGCTTCAAATAGGGAAAAATAATTGTCATTCACTGGCAGCATTTTGCCAAAATGTATACACAATCAACATCTGTTAAATGAATAATGTTGCCACCTTCACCTGTATTTAAGTAAGGTTTGGTGGTTATTTGACACTGTTACCTTCCAAAGCAATACGATTGTCTTATGATTAATACAATAGCTGAGCTGCATGTTATTTAACTTATGCCAAACATCTAAAGCTGTGTGTCTATGTTTGCCCTTAGATTGACTTCCTTTCTCTTTAACAGTAACACTCAATGTTCTGAGCACTTCAAGGAAAATGAATGCACATTGAAAATGATGTGTTTCTCAGTACAGAAAAGATGATAGTGGAAAAGCCTCAGATTTACTTTGCTACATTTGTATACAACAATTTGGCACAATTTGCACAGAAATGTTATATCATATGATAAACAGAAGTCTTATTTCAGCCGTGGTAGGAGGGTTTAAGGTTATTTTTCACAAAATGTGATTATAAAGCAAATGTTAAAAGTCAAATAATTATAAAAGAGTTATATAAACCCTTGAGGGGGGATGCAATGCTTTGAAAAGGAATTCTGGTTTTCAGTCAACTGTATTATATCTGATGCTTTGGATTTGGGTCTCTTAAAGATGCAAGTTCAGTAGTAATTTCCTTAGAATATTGGAAAGATTTGATAGGTTGAACAAGGGAAGAATACTAGTTTTTTCAAAGTGACTTACTTAGGTATAGGTTAAACTATAAATATTTTCTTATCAGGGTTCAATTTATAGAAATACGTATGTGGCAACCTCATTGATAGATATATGCAAATCTAAGGTAATTTGAAAGAAATTTGGTAATTGAGCAGAGAGCTAAAAACATTAAGAACAAATCCGGGATTAAAGCTAAGACTTTATTTTAGTTTTTTACCTTTTGTGCTCTTTCTAGAATTTTTTTCTATCATCTTTTAGTCAATAATTAACAGGCAAAATTGGCGTGGTGAGTGTTTGGTCCCTAAAGCATGCTGGGTTCTTTCCCCTTGAACTGATAAGCTACCTCCTCAACCCCCCTATCTTCTAAATGAGTGACAATCTTATCCAAACAATGGAAGAGTTCTCTGAATATTCTTACAGCCACAGAAAAATCACTCAAGATCTGCATCTTGTAGAAAATTCTCTATTTAAAAAGTGTGATTAACCCTAAAGCACCCAAACAGGGTAGGTTTGGGGGAGGGCCAATTCCTTCATTTCTAATGTCCCTACTGTTATACAATGAAGGCTGTATTCCCAAGGCATAGTTATTCAAGCATCCAAATTAGATTTAGTAATGGAATCTTATGAGTTCTGACTCTTCAACTTCATATATCAGAAATCCAAGCCTACCTATAAATCTGATTTACCTAGGTCTGGGTTGTATACTACATGAGCGTATCTAATAGCTTTTTGGATTGTATGATTTGCCACAGGATGCATGTTTGTATAAAGGCTTAGTACTGACAAATGACTCTCTGCAGTTAAAACTGTCACCACTAGATGAAGCTCCTCTACTTTTGCTCTCCTCTCAAGAGAATTTGTTGTTTGGCTACCAGATGACACTGATGTGGAATTTAAAACCTTACTAAGGTTACTAAATGTTGCTTTGCTCTGAGAGTAAGGCAACCAGTCTATTTTGCTAATTTCAGTGAAATTCAGAGAGCTAAGTGTAAAAATGCACATAAATGGCCTTTAGATTATAATCCATGGTTTATCTAGTTAATAACTGTTTGTTTAAAAAGCTGCACTCATAATCCCCTAGTCTATCTACACTGATTAGTTTTATTTTATACCAAGTATTGGCTTCAGGGAGGTACAAGCAAGGAACATCAACAGAAAGAGAAAGCCTCTGTTTCCTCTTACGTAAGAGTTGGGAATTAGCTTACTCAATGTATTTTCTCTTCTGGATCACTGCCTTCAGATGCCTGATTTTCCTTGTCTTGTAGACTGTTTTTTGTCCTTTTGGATTTTTTTTTTTTTGGTTGTTTCATGTGAGAGGATAAATTCCAGTCCCTGCTCTATCTTGACCAGAATGGAAGTTCATGTAGACATTGAAGCTAAATCTTTAAGTAGTGGGAAGCCAAGCAACACTCATTCAGATTAACCAGTCAGCTTTATCAGTTGGAAGCATAAAAATTTCCCTTTCAAATAAAGTATTTAACAAGCTCAGAATCAGTCTGATCAATTTTGTAACTATGTTTCCTATTTGAAAATATGTCATCAGTTGTTTAGGTAATCTTTAACTGGAAAATGACAAAAGCAACAGAATTTTTCATTGAATTATTAAATATAAATATCATACAATTTCAGTTGTCTAATACTAGGTTTGCTTAATATTCTGTTCTATATTAACAATGTGAGATTTTTTTTTTGTCGCATTCTTCTGTTTTCATTTCTAGTGAATGTTGCGGAAGGCATGCTGAAGATATCAGTGTTGGAAAAACCACCTTCCTGTTACTGACTTAAAATTCTGACATTGTGCTGTTTTCAATTTTCTGCTGAAACTGAATGAGTTTAAAAGAAGCTACAGACTTCTTTATGTATATAAATGTTGAATAACCATGGTGTACACCTAATATAGTGTACTAATACAGTATTATATGTTAGCTATATTTTAATAAAAATCTTTTTTAAATAAATAAATAAATCTACAAAATGCATTTGCCATGTGAATTCTGTCACTTTTTGCCACCCTCATATTTTGCATAGGCCCTGGTTCTTTGTACTATCAGAAACTACCTTTTTTTTTTTAATTAAGACTCTGCCTCTATTTTATTTGAAAGCGTGCAGAGGCATAACAATAATTCCGTGAAGTACTTTCAATAGATTTTTAGAGATCCTTTTGAAAGGAAGAGAGGAGGAAGTGGTTTTTCAAAACTGTAAACTAGCTGGGTATTCAGAGTGCTAGCATCCAGCAGGGACAAAGACAGAGTGTGTCTGTGTTAAGAGGAGAAATTCAACAGCAAAAGGGAGAAGGGGTTTCAGTGTTGTTTCATGTGTCAGGAGGCTATTTATTATTTTGTGTATCCTGAAGTCTTGCCACCTGAAATGCTACCTTCACAAGCAGCATTAGGAAATTATTTTTAAGGCACCTGAGTGCCTAAAATCGT